ACTTTTCTGGTGGTCAAAGAGAGTTAAGGGGTAGAAGACTACCTGATTTAATTGAACAGTAAAGGGTGTTAACCTTGTGCTCTCCAGAATGCAGACAAAGGTGGGGAGGGGTGGCAATGTCAGTTTGTTTAACAAGCAGAGTAAATTGGCCAGCATGCAAGCTGGCTGCACTAAACTTTTTTCCCTGTTGTGGTGTTGGTTACATTTCCCCACTGTCAATTTACTCTTTCCATTTCTATGGAAAAGAGGCATCACAACCATCTAACTGTTTCCTATGTGAAGTTAACTTGTGGACCCAAGTAAGGAGTCATCAAAAGTAGATTTTTAAACACCCATTACAAGAATATTAGTCAATGCACTACACTGACCAAACTTTCATACTCTTCCATTTACCCACATAATTTAACTTGCTTCTCTCCCTTTTTCAAGTCTTGTTTCTTCCTTACTACAGCTGGTTATCTTCTTTCTTTTTTCAATTATTTTTTTCTAAACCATAGCTAAATTTCATCCTTCTGATGCTTAGACTTCTGCTATGGTTTTACATCAGTGTCAACTGACTTTTCAAGGAAAATTGTAAGTGATTTAAGATCCTGTTAAAATGTGTAAGTATATGTTAAACAACAGCATATATAACACAGTTAAATAACATAAGCTAAGCACTTCAGGACAAATGCTGTATGTTCTCCTCATATGTTGAAGTTAAGTAATTGTTCATAGAAATAGAGACTGACCAGTGGTCACTTGAGATTAAAGAGCAAAAGAGACAGGAGGGACAGAGAGAGGTTAAATAGTACATACCAAAATACGGTTGGATAGAAGTAGGTGCACAGTAATTTATTCACAGCAATTTATTATAGATTTTATAAAAAACTATACAGAAGTTTGAAGATTATAAATGTTTAAAGAGATAGAAATGCTAATTATCATTACACATTACATACATGTATAAATTACCACAGCATAGTTCATAAATATGTATAATTATTATGTGTCTGTTAAAAAATAAAAAGAAAGAAATGTAAAAAAAAAGAGAGAGAAGTAAAATCTCAATTAAAAAAAAAAATCTAATCATCCTTTCATGTTTGGCTAAACCAGAAATCTTAAAGTAGAGAACATCTTATTCCTAAATGTACATGAAAACTTTCCAAGAGTCTGAATAAGCATAGTTTTTAAAGAATTGGTTTCAAGATATGCACTCTAGGTGTATACCCTTTCTTGAAATCAGTGTTTCTAAGTATAGCTGCAAACAACAAGCTTTTCTTTCCCATCTTGCCTTTTACGATGGCCTTTTTTCCACTTTATACAAGGAAGGTCTGCATCTCACCCATATAAGTCTTCTACATTGCCTTATTGTGCTAAGACCACTGCAAATCCAAAGAGACAGTGACCAACTATGTGGTTTTTTTTTTTTTTGCCTATAATTCTGATTGAATTTAAAGAAATGAAGAACTACCAAAATTCTATTCTTTTTCATCAACTTTCTAAAATGAGTTCTCTCTACTTTTAAAAACTCACAAAGTTTATTATAACAACAAATCTTTATTCCCTCATATAAGCACATAAATAAAATTTACAAGTCACAAGCATCTCAAAAGGTGATTCAATGAGACTTTCCTTCTATGTTTGTTTATCAAAATTTGTAAAGTATTTTTGCTATTACCAAATTTTTCATCATATAGTTATGAGGAATAATTCTTTTAAAACATACTCCTTTGGCTAACTGACCACTATTTTTCTCCCCTTGTAATGGCATCCTAATGAATCTTAGCTTCCTTCTGCAAAAAAAAAAAAAAAAAAAGAAAGAAGTAATATGAACTAGAAGTACCACATATCACTCAAATGAATCATAGTCATAAAATGCATGTCCATCAGTTATTCCCCTTCTATCCCTTTTTCTGTTCAGTCACAAAATTCTCCAAAGAAAAACATATCCATAGCTTCTGTATGCATACAGGCAGAGAATAAGCTCAAAGATTACTCTAGAAAAAAAGTAGGAAACAAAGAAAAGAAAATTAAATACAATGACATTAATGTTCTAGCTCTCACAAAAATATATAATAGTTGAAATATATTTGAGATATCAGCATGCTTTCTAATACTGTTTTCAGTATTTTCCCCATGAGATAGGTTTACACAACACAAAATGGTGTGATTAAGTGGTAATTATGTGGTCAATTAGGGCTTATAGGTAATTCAGGAAATGAAGAAACATTCTCCTTAGGTCACTTTGAATACCTGACTTTATAGTTAATGATGCATGAATTCTCGACTTTGCTTTTCATAGATTTTTTTAAAGTATTGAGGCATATCAAATAAGGTCAAACAAAAGGTTAGAAGTAGCAAGCTTATTCAACAAGCAATTAGTAAAAAATCTCCCTTGCCCTAGGTCTTGTGAAGTATAAAGAAAAAACATAATTCCTGACCTTGAGAACTTCACAATCTATGATGACATCATTCAATTAAGTTGCTTCAAATATCCTTTTTACTCTTATGACCACCAAGTTCTTCTCACCAAAACTCTATTTTTTAATGCCTCTTGGGTAACAGAAACAAGACCTTATTCAAGGTCCTACAAACACCTTGAACTGAACCTACACAAAAAATAAGAGCTCATTTTTTCCCATAAACTCACTACATATAAACATCTGCTTTTTGGATTCATATTTATATGAGAATCATCTACATGAATTTAGTCTCTTATAATAAAAACTTGTGATTCTAGATACTTTACTTGAGTTACCAAACCTTGAGAAAATTCACCAAGTCCTGTGAGTTCTGCCTCTAAAGTATTTTTTCAATACCTCTTTTCATCTCATCAGCAATAATCTAACTTATTAGAGAACTTCTTCCTTATCTCCATACTTTCATGCTACCCTTCAATCCTTGCTCCCATCATTACTCCTTCTCCAAAATATAAATCTATCTGTTCATTTGCTTATAGTCCACATTGGGTCCTTTTTGCAACTTAATATCAAAATTCCTGAGCAGGAGTTCATAACCTTGCTTTCCTCATTTTGCCTTTCCAGACCCAATTACCACCTTCTCCTACACACACATACACGTACTATTCAACCATACCAAAACACTTCCTGAATATGTCATGTTCTCTTGCATCTTTAAATGCATTGCTCTTGAGACTTAGAAGAACAGTCTTCATTTCTCTGTCAAAGGTCTATTCATCCCTTAGATAACAAACATCCCCTACAAAGTCCCTCCTTGACATTCCCAGCTAAGTGTGAACATAGTACTTTCTCTATATCCTTTGTTATTTACCCTTGTTACTTGTTATTTACTATTTATTTATATCTGTACATCCCCCATTAAATTGTGAATATCTATAGAACCAATCTGTAACTCATTTGTATTTTCTGTACATAAAGTAGAAGCTTAAAAGCTGCTTGTTAGATGAATAAACTTCTAGTCATGCTAAGACTAAGAAAGAATGAATATGTAGAGCATGTTTTAATAGTGGAACTACTCTAAGGAACTTGGGAAAGAAGGGAAAGGAAAAAAGAAAGAGCATCAACAATATTGTAAAACATAACATACGTGAGGTAGAGGATATAGCAATATATATTGAAAGCTGTTGAAAAAAAAGGGGTGGGGAGTGTAGGGGTAAGGGAGAGTAATGGAAGCAATTGAATGGACCAAAGTAAAATATACTCACAGTGGGGATACATTGAACAACCCTTTTGAACATTGACTTAGAAATTAATAGTGAAAGACAGGACTATAAAATTTGTATAGTTGGGGGAGATGAATGAAGGAGATTAAAGTGAGGGATATGGTTGATGAACTTCATATACCTATACGAAATAGAACAATGAACCTCTAATTGCTTGAAGTACAGCACAAAGGTGGTTGAAGGGAAGAGATAATGGGGGTGATCTAAACAATGTACGACGTAAGCCTATTTGGAATTGTCACAATTAATCTGCCCTGTACAGTGAATATATCCTAATAAAAAATTTTAAAAAGAAAGAATAAATGCATGATTCAAAATGTCACATGATACACAATAAAATGTATTGGGTATTCTTATGCTTTATGTATTAGTAAAACTTAAATTCTAGCCAGGCACAGTGGCTCACACTTGCAATCCAAGCTATTTGAGAGGCTAAGATTAGGATTGCAGTTTGGGGCCAGCCCAAACAAAAGTTCATGAGACCTCATCTCAACAGATAGTTGGGCCTGGCCATGCACACCTGTCATCCCAGCTAGGTAGAAAGCCTAAAATAGGAATATCGAAGTCCAGGCAGTTCAGGCAAAAAGCAGTACTCTTTCTCAAAACTAATCAGAGCCAAAAGGGCTAGGAGGGAGGGTGTGTCTTTTACGGTGGAATGCCTGCTTAGCAAGCATGAGTCCTGAGTTCAAATCAAAGTACCATTAAAAAAAATAAATTTAAATTTTAAAATTATGACAAAAGGAAACAATGTGATGAAATTTTTTTCCTTTATTGTTGTGCTGGGTGGGGGTACATTGTGGCATTTGAAAAAGTTCTTACAATGTATCAACTATATCACACTTCAATTCACCCCTTCCACTGCTCTCCTTTATCCCTCCCCCCAATTCACGAACAGTTTCAATAGGTACTTTTGCATTGCATGCATGTGTACACGATGTGATGAAATTTATCATATTTTGGTTTTATGGACCTATTTCTGTATTAATATGTATTTAATTTTCTTACACTGTAGCTCAAACTTCACCATTCTTAAACGGGCTTATAAATGTCTTACTCACTATGACACATTTGAAGTATCTTGATGCTGATACGGGACCTTTGACCTTTGAAGGATGCATAAATTATATTATGATCATTAAAAAGTAAAGAAAGAAAAACACCCATAGTCTAAGAATCTGTAAACAATTATAGATGTAATGCATTTGTGGACCAAGTAGGGGATAAAGATTCATGAACCAGAGGCTCATTGTAAGATTCCCCTAAATAGACTCTACATGTTCCAATGTGAACCCATGGACTCTAGTTTGGAAAGGAGATGGAAAGAGAATATGTGGACATGAGAGATGAGATGGATAGAGCCAACATGGAACCAAACAGACCCAGGGCCAGACATGGAAAAGAAGAGAGAGTGTGAGAGTTCGGAACAAAACCTCTGAGGAAATTCAGATCTTTAGGAGATATACTAGTTTATTCACCCTATTCTGCACTAGTCTATTAGTATGTTTTCTCAGAAGGGAAGTTCACTCAAATACATCAGCTGTATTTTTCCATTACTGTCCTTCAAATTACCACAAACTCAGCAACATAAAATGCTTGTTTATTAGTTCATGGTACCACAGATCAGAATTCTGGGTGGACCTGGTTAGATTTTCTAAAGATTCAAAAGGCCAAAATCAAGACGTCAGTCAGTCCAGGTGAGGCTCCCATTTGGAAGCTTTGGAGGAGGACCTACTTTCAAACTTATTCAGGTTGTTAGCAAAAATCAGTTCCTATGGATATAGGACTAAGGTCCTTGTTTTCTTGTTGCTGCATCTGGTGCTTAAGTTCCTTGTGCTGAAAGGCACTAACTTGTTTGGGTCTATGAATTAGGAGCCAGATTTGACATCTTTATCTCCATTTCTGTATCTGTCTTTACTCTGAGCCATTCACTTTGAGTCACTTTTAAATCTAGGAAGGACAGAATATCTTTACAAGGAGGGGTGGACAAAACTGCTCCCAAGGAAGGGAACAGCAGAGCCTCCACAGGACTGACCACCACCAGGTAACAATGACTTGTTTATCCTGACCAGATAGCTCCTTTCAAGAAATGGTAGCCATAACAGTTTCTCCCAAACTCCTTCCAAAACAAGGACTGAAATAATGACCAACCAGGGCACTCCTGTGACTAGGACTGTTTAACTATGCATACCTCTTATCTCCTGCCCTAATTCTTTTTCTATTTAAACCAAAAGCTCTGTACCCCAAAGATGGGCTGAAGTGTTTTCTTTCCACAGCATTGTGTTGCATAGTAAACCACCTTTCTCAGTTCTTCACCATTACTTGCCTATTTGGCATACTAGGGCAAGTGGCCAGACCGTCATGACATGTGGAACCCCAGAAATGATCAGTTAGCCAGGGATAATTCTTATCCTGTCACTGTCCAAGACTCATGCAATTTTTTTCAGGTTCTTCAAAGTCAGCAATGGAGGATTTATCCCTAGCTTCCCCATTGTGCTTCAAATCTTTTTTTTTTTTCCTTTGTTCTTTTTTTTGTGTGTGTGCTTCAAATCTTTGACTTTCAGCTCTGTGACCAGCTGGAGAAATTCCCTGCTTTTAAAGGGCTCATGTAGTTATAACAGACCCACCTGTGTAATCTCCTTACCTTGAAGTGAACTATGACATATAAAAAGGAGTAATTATGTGACTAAAGTCTATCATGTTCATTGTCCCCAGGATTATGCAGGACATGTATACTGACCACAGGGCATCCTGGGTCATCTTAGATTTCTACCTACTGTGCCAGCTATACCTGTACTACTTCTAGTAACGCAATGTTTTTTAAGGTGCTGAGAGTCCAACCCAGGGCCTTGTAGATGCTAGGCAAGTGATGATTTAATGACAAAATCACAGTCATTACTGCAATATTGTCAAGAATGACCATTTGCTGTTTGTGGATTTTAATTCCTCCAATTTTAGTAGCAGTCTGATAAGTAAGCACACAGTTTCTAATTTCTCAAGAACAAGTTTGCAATCCACCAGAACTATTTCTATTGAATTTTAATGTTTGAATTGTTCTATTCAATTACAGAAAGGGGAAGTTAGTAATCTCAAACATATAAGGAGGGTGAAAGTACTTTACCTCTTCCCTGTACACATATCCTCATGGACAGAGCTCTCTCCCTATGCTTTTTTCTCACTTAGCCCAAAGAGCAAGCCAGTTGGAACCCCTGTTATAAATGAGAATGCTGATGCTCACCTACACAACCTGGTGAGAAGAATGCGCCAAAGAACAGCCCTGTACAAAAGAAAGTTGACAGAGGGAGAAATTTCCTCACCTGAAACCAGCCCACCTACTGGTAAGCATTGTTCCCTGGAAGCACAAGTATTTTGCAAATGTTACAGTTTGGGTTCCCTAAAAGCAGACCCCAAGACAGTGATTTGGGTACAAATGAACCCAGAGTTTTGGACCCAAGGCCCAAACTCCTGGGATTCCACATGCTAGGTCCAGCACTCACTCTAATATGTCAAATAAAGAGGCAGGGAAAGGACATGCCTTGGGAAGAGGCCTAGTAAACACTCAGCCCATCTTCAACCATCTTTGGGATACAGACACAAATGATAGGTTTAAATAGTCAAAGAACTGGGGACAGGGGACCAAGTTATGCATAGTTTAATAGTCCCAGTCACAGATGTGTCTGGTTGGCTATTATCTCAGTCCTTGTTCTAGGAGAGGTCCCAGAGTTGTTATCTGGAGGGTGATCCATCCTGAGGAGGCTCTACTGTTAGGGGTAGTTTCAGTTCCTTTTCATGAAGATGTTATCGTTCTGTCCTTTCTTGAATACAAGGTGATTGTAAAGTGACTGCAAAGAGAGTGGCTTAGAGCAAAGACAAATACAAATGAAGGACAAACGCCATGATTTTTTCCTGTGTTCAGTTAACTCATGGACCTGAGTAAGGAGTCCATGCTTTTCAGCAAAATCATTCTGAGCACCTCTTGTACAAATAGTTTATTTTGAGAGTGATAAGAGAGAAAGAGAAGGGAGCTAATATCTAGATGCATTAATAAGAGCTCTTTCCCTACTCTACCTCCTGCCTCACAAGGCTTAAAACAGCAGGAAAAAACAAAAAAACCTAAGAGTTATCCTAATGAAAGAGGAAAAGCTGGTTCTGCTGGGCCTGCTGTTAACTCCCAGCACTGTGGGCAACCTGCTCAAGAAAGCCCTCAGAAGGGCAGAGTCATAGAGAGCTCTCTACTGGTGACATTCAGGTCCAAGCCATATACTTGGGCCACCACCAGTAGATACTGTATCAGGTTTTATTGCAAATATTAAATAATACCTAGATATACAAAGTACATATTACAAAAATATAAGAATATTACCTGAGTATATCCAACAAAGACATCAATAATGCAATCACATAATGGATGGGATAATTATCAACTTCCCTAATAATTACAGAAATTTACTTACAACAAAAGAAGAATAAAGCTCAGCATAAAATGATACAAATTATGATTATACCTACATAAAATTCTTACATGTATATAGAAAAAGAAAAGAAGAAATTTTGGATTAATACCACAAATACTAATCAAATTGATAATTACATGGGATAGAGTTGAGGGCAGTTCGTTTTTCAAAATGAACTGTGTATTGTAAAATGGTTTATTTTTAAATAGATGAGACTAAGACATCTCAGAGTCATTATAGTTTGATAAGATGCATTAAAAATCATATTTTGAGCTTTGTTTAACCATAGCTTAAAGGATAGGTGTGAAGGATGTGTTTTAGGACCTTTGTGAATGTGAGGTTTGATTTGTAATACCTCCTGTGACACCTTATTACTTGCTATGTAATTTACTCCTAAACCTGCTATGTATTTCCCAAATTCTAGTGTTTTCAGTACTTGGATATTTTCCTCTATTTCATTATTTTATTTTATTGTGTGTATTTAAGGTGTATAACATAATGTTTTGATATATAGATAGTGAAATAAATGCTTCATCTGCTTGTATTGAGGGGAAGATTTTTAAATATTCTATCTTTATCAACTTCAAGCTTTTTGCTCATTAAGCTAACTTATGCTAACTTAACCTATTAAAATGTTTTCTCTTTTTTTTCTCAAGCAAAGCCTACAGCTGTATCATCAAATACAGGAAAGCAATTCTAAGCTAAAAAAAGAACATTGTTGTGGCATGCTGTGTTGCAAATTCCAGAAGGTGCCTCTGACAAAGTACCTAAAAAGAATTAGACTTCCAAGAAGCATAGATTCATACACAGGTACCATCAAACAGTATCCCATTGGGAGGGCTTGCTATCACCAAGAGTCCTTTTGACCAAAAGTCATAGATAGCTTCTGATTTCCTACATTCTGAAGCAATCCAGAAAGCATAATTTAAGCTATATAATTTGCAAAGGATTGTTTACTCCTGTCTGGTGAAGATAAGAGATAAAATATTCCTAGCTATTTTTAAGGGCCTGGTCTGTACCTAATTACCTTTGGAAAGAAGGCCCCAAAGCACTCGGCAGTATGTATTCTGACAGACGCATAAAAATTTATTATACTGTGTCCATCTTCTTCTATGGCTTCACACAGTTAATTATTCTAATCAAAAAGATACTTTCCCATGGCCTCCCATGGGCAGAGGAAGGGAACGTGTAAAGGAGCGTGGACTGCCTTAGTGGGTTGCTTCATGCTCTCTCCTCTCAGGGCTACACCCTTCTGGAAGAGGGTCTTTTCTCCCACCTGCCGTGGACATCCTGCAGCTTAACTGCTGGGAGTGGAGACCTTTTGTGGCAGTGAGGCCTGAGCAGGGTCCCTCTGACTTTTCTTGGGTTCCCACTTTCCTGAATTTTAAGTGTGGTTACTCATTGAGATAGAGGCGGGCAGCCAGGGAGACAGGAAGGAAGTTGGAAGTGTTGGTAAGATCTTTCTCCATTCCTTGGACAGCACAATGCTGCTACTCTGGAAGCAAATTGTGTTGAATAAACGTTTAGGAGAGGCCCTTACTGCAAATCACTTATCTCCAGAGAATACTGCCTCAATTTGACCAAACCAAGAAAGAGAATTTTTCAGTGTTTGTTCCATGCCTTTTGCATGACTTGTGTTGCTGGATTTCTAGATCGACTGTATCTGCTGTGGCTCTTGCTTGTCGCCATGGCTTATAATTGGAACTGCTGGCTGATACCACTGCGTCTCGTCTTTCCATATCAAACCCAGCACAACACATTACTGGCTTATTGTGGACATCATCTGTGATATCATCTACCTTTGGTGATATGCTACTAATCCAGCCAAGGCTCCAGTTTGTAAGAGGAGGAGAAATAATAGTAAGTGGGGTTTTGGAAAAAGATACAGCAAATGAACAATAACTAATTGAAGTACAAAAATAAATTAACAACATTGATTTATTTAATGTTTGACTATCTGTGCATGGAGAGGTCTTTAACACACAGGAAACCTCAATAACATTGATAAAATAATGAAACTACCACTGAATGTTCACTGCATACTAAAGAACATATATCTCACTATGCCTTAGTTTCCTCATTTTCAAATGGAAATGCAATAGTACCCTTGATAACACTGATAGGAAAGTTTTGCACTGATGAATATAAAGTACTTGAGTGAATATTAAGTGTCAGGTATCATTTATTAGGCTAGGCCATTTGTTTTATAATAATGTCTCAATCTTTCAATTGACACTACCAAAAAAAAAAAAAAAAATGCTACTACCCCATTTATAGATAACAGAACTGAGGTTGCAAGGGTAGGTGATTTGTCCAAAGCATAAAGCTAGGAAGTGGGAGAGCCAGTATTCAAACCCAGGCTTTACCTCCAAATCATGCTGGTTCAGTCAGCAAGTAGTCAGTAGTGCCGAGTCTGTACAGTAAAAACCATACACACAGTTTGCATAAATAAGGTTCCTAAAATGTATAAATTACCAATACAAAAAGAAAAAAAACAGTTTAATATACAGTCCTCATCTGTTGTATAAGGATAGAAGCAGTTGTTTCCCATCACAGTACAGTCTGCCATTCACTTCAGGATTTTTTTAAGACAGGTACATTTTTCACTCATTAGAGGCCTACTCAATCTTTTAAGCAACAAGAGTAGTGTTATGAGAAGGCACTAGACTATAATTTGTTTAGGGGACAGACTGTGTCTTATTTATTGTTTCATAGTCAGCATCGAGATGCAGTCCCTGCACACAGTACAGAAGTCAAGCCAATGTTTGAGACCTGGACACATTGGGAAAACCTAACTTAAAAAACAAAGCTTTCATCACCTCTTAATGCAAATTCACCATGTTGCCCAGTAGGGTGGCCAACGAGGCACGTGTGTCTATTCAAATTTTAATTAACATAATTAAATGAAGTAAAATTCAAATTTCTCAGCACATATCCATTTTTCCAGTGCTCAACAACCACATGTAGCTAGCGGCTACCATTCTGGATTGCAACGGAAAGAGTTCCACCATTGCAAAATATTCTATGAAAAGTGCTATAAGGGACTGAGAGAGTAATGAGGCTCAGGTTCTCCATGAGAGTTAGCCCACAGAGACATGTGACTTGCCAACATGTGCAAATCACAAGGACACAGAACACACCACAGTTATTATTTTTTTAAAGAATATGGTATCTTCTAGTCTACTTTGGTTTTTCCATCTGAACTTTCAAAACTCATCACATTCTGTGTTTTGGGTTTTTGTGTGTGTGGTGTGTGTATTGTTTGTTTATTTGTTTTTTACATTTCTGTGGTTTGAACTTAGGGTTTCCCACTTGCTAGGCAAGTGTTCTACTGCTGAATGATACATCCAGCCTTTTTATTCTGATTATTTTGGAGATAAGGTCTTGGAGGCAGAAGAGGCAAATCAGAAGTGTGCATAACTAAAGTATTACATTGTTTTTGGAGAAGACAGTAGGTTCCTTAAATCTCCTGAATATTTCCTAGCAAGAGGTGCACCACAACTACCTTTTTGCTGTTGAGATGGTGGGTCTCACAAACTTTTTGGTTCAGGTGGACTGAAAACACAAGAGCCTCCAATCCTCCTGGTTCTCAGCCTCACAAGTAGCTAGGATTACAGATGTGACTCCCTGGTGCCTGGGCTTAGCTCATCATGGTCAGATGAAGTGGCTGCCCCTTCGGAACTAAGCATTCTTGGCCCTTAGGAGAAGTATCTTCCTATAGAATTTATTCTCAGTAATTGGAATTGGTCATAGTCTATTCAGGTTAATCTAAGACAGAAACAGAAACCATGTATTTTTTAACAGGACATACCCACATCTTACAGCACCTACTACTTGGCCCCTTCCCTGGCTAACCAAGAAAATGCGGTTCTTTCTGACCCTGAAGTCCTGCTGTGAAGATCCTTCTCACAATCCACAGCAAGGGCTCTAGAGAGCAATGCCCTTCATGTCTGAGGAGGAAGAGAAATCAAAGTGTGCATAACTTAAAGTATACCTGTTTTTGGAGAAAGACAGTTTAGGTCCTTAATCTACCTGAATAATTTTCCCTTTGAATCTCTTAGGAGATCTTTACTTATCAAAAATCTGAAAGGAGTTGCTTGGCTAAATTTTTTTTTCTTTTAAAAAATTTAATTTTTTCTGGGAGTGACCCTATGTTCAAAATCTCTCCTGGAAGAAATGCTAAGGAAGAGCCAAAGCTGTAGCAAAATTTGACAAAAAATATCCCTTGTGCAGACTGCAGAGCAGTTAGTTAACTCACCAGCACTACGCCAGAGTCACTGGGCAGCTTGATGAATGATGATGACGGGTGTACAAATAAGAAGTAAAACACGCCAAAAAGAGCACCTAATTTCAACCTCCATTAAATTGCAAAAGGGGAAGAAAATCAAGTGTTTGACAAATGGAAAATGACCAAAAATCAGTAAAGGGGAGACTTTTATTTTTCAATTTTCTAAGAGGTCTTTGCAACACAATGGAGTGTTAAGGCCAGAAAAATAACCAATGAAAACACCACTCAACAAGCTCTTATTAACATGCATTAATCACAAGCTACAAATATAGAGCAGAAAACTAATTGCTTTGTTATTTGTAAACGAAATTAATGGTTCATTTTAATTTAGAGTCGGGTAGTTTTTAGCCTTTGAAAACTTGATTACATTTTGTGCAAGATTATGTACTCTGAGTCCCTAATCTTGAAGACCTCACTACATTAAACCTATCCATGCTACCTTTGGTGTACACCACCAACTTATTCATCAAACCATTCATGTTATTACGAACATTTACCAGGTAGACATAGCTAACTATTCTATGTATGTACATTTTTAAGAAATACTGCACCAGAGTTTGAAGATGGAAATATAAAATTCCTGTAAAGGCCTCCAGGGAATAAACAGGCAGAGGTGCTAATAGCCCACAATAGAGGGAATCAGGAGGTTTACAAGTTCTCGCACAACATTTATTGCACAATAATCTTCCTTTGAAAATAGTGGTACATAGCCATTGTTTATTGCAGCACTACTCAACAAATAGCCAAGTTATGGATCCAGGTTCGGTGCTGCACCAACCAGATAATAGATAAAGAGAATGTGGAATATTTATACAAAATTGGAGTATTATGCAACTAATGAAGAAAAGAAAGTTATGTCAATTCAGGAAAATGATGGAACAGGAGATCATCTTTTTTTTTTTTAGTGATGCCATATATAAATTTGGATCTGATTCAGTAAATTGTAGACAGAGAAATTCCCACCTAAATCAGCAGTTTTCTTACAGGAATATAAAAATGAATCATACTCACATCAAAGAACTGCCAAAGAAAAACCTTTGTTTTATACTAGGACTTGTTACTTATTTAAGTGATCACTTTCAGTTTTGAAAGATTATCTCAGTCACAACAGATTAGAGTAGTCACCACTTAGACTTCACCTATAATTAAATTTTAATTGCGTGGTTTCCTCAGAAAACAGTGAACCAGCATGTTATTCATACAGCCAGAATATATTTATGGCATTGGTGTTGATAAGGGATTCATTTTAATAAGACTGACCTTAAAAGTACTCCCATTTTTTTATCATTTTACTTTACTCACATGTATATATTGTTTTGGTCCCCCTCTTTTCTCCGATATACTAAAGAGAAAACATAAGAGATAATATGACAGGCATATGCGTTTTTGCCTAGTCTGAGATAAGGAAGCTATACCAGAGAGATTCCTAGCATTGCTTCCATGCACATATGTATTGGAACTTAGTGTGGTTTATTTGCGATTTCCTTTTTGCCCAGGGTGGTGAGCATTTTTTCAGATCTTTTGGCATTTGGACTTCTTCCTTTGAAAAAAATTCTTGTGGACCACACTCTTTATTGATCATTGATTATGGGGATTTGATTCTCTGTGTATCTGGTTAGTCAATTCCTTTGTCTGAATGTATAGCTTTAGCAAATATTTTCTCCCACCTGTGGGTGATCTCTTCATTTAGAGGCCAGTTCTTTGCCTTGTACAGAAGCTTTTAATTTCATGTAGTCCATTGTCAATCCTCTTCTTATAGTTGCTGCGGCTTCGGCGGTCTACATTGAGAAGTTCACTTGGCCCTATACCTTTTGCTTCGCAGAGTATTCCTTGCATGTTTCCTGTTACCTGCAAGGTTTCGGGTCTGATATTAAGGTCCGTAATCCAGTTTCAGTTGATACTAGTACAGTGTACAGCACTGTTTCAGTTTCAGTTTTTACTGGCAGATAACCACTTTTCCCAGCAACATTTGTTAAAGAGGCTGTCTTTTCTCCATCGTATGTTTTTGGCGCCTTTGCCATCAAAACAGATTAAACTGTTATTTAATCTACTTACAGTTGTTTCAGATTATATTCTTTTTGATTTCGTCTGTTGCTCTGTAAAATTATGGGAATTGTTTATGAAGAGGCTAATAATGAGTAATATGCTAACATCTGAGTAGAGCTTCTTCAAAAACTATCTGTTGGAAAAGGATTTAGTGCAATTAACATGTCCTTCCTAAAGTAAACCTCCCTGAAGAAACTGTTGCTTGCATAATGAGGAAGCTTAAAAGAGAGAGATTAAATAGGTGACATTTTAAAATAAGTGCCTAATTGTTACCTGTAAACATGCTGATCCTCTAAGGCTAATGATTCAAAATTTATTTAGTGCTCTAAAGAAGAGGGATTCTTAAATCACTAGATGGCATTTTCACTTAAATCTAGCAAGTTTTAGTTGCATTTACATTTATTCAGTCACGGATTATCGACTACTCTGAAAGTAAAAGGATAAATGTGCAACAAAACATTCTTCCTGGGTGGGGGAGACAGTAGTATTTTAACTTACTTGTTTGGCACTTGAAGTTGTCTGCCCC